TCGGCTGCCCTTCATACGGCCATCATGCATACCCAAACAAAATCGGGATTCATCACTGAACACCACCCAATGCTACTCTAGGTTCCAGTGCAGTCGCAACCTACACCACTCCAAACGCTGCTGGCGGTGTTGAGCTGTTAATGGTAACAAAAGATGTGGCCGATAGGATTGCAAGTCGTAAGCTCTGATTCTGCGGTAAACCGTTCGAAGTGTTACAGGACGACCTTCGTTAGCTAACAATTGATCGGCAATTGACCTGGTACTAGAGAATCGGTTTCTTGTTGCCATAAGTCAAAGATGGCGATCCCGCACTTCAATTGTTCTTTTTCGCCCCCCACCCTTTCCTGCCCCCTCCCTTTCCTCTCTACGACGATCCTGCCCCTTCCCAAATCCATGCCCGATTGCAGCGAATCATGGTGAATGGACTTCGGTTAAGGTGACTTGTAATTTTTGTGAACGAAAAACCACCTCCACCCAAATCAACAATACGACACCTGTCAACTTCTCTTAATTCGCGGTAATTTCCACTTTGGCGTATCTAGGCATGATCACAGCCTCAAAAGAAACGATTAAAAGCGAAAACAATAAGAACTGAACAAAATTTCGCAAAACGTACTCAATATAAGAATACTAGAAAAAAAAATGAAAGAACTGTCAAATAAGCCATTACCACTTGATCCATATGAATGAAATTTTAATCAATTGTTACCTTTTAGTAGTTAAACGTTTCTGCCAAGTTTGGTAAAAAAATTCCAGCTCCTTCTTGGTGTGCAATTTCCATGTCACTGAGTATATAATAAAGAACTGATCTACTGTTTTGTTGAGTACATCCCCAATTAATTCAAACTGTTAATTATAGACATAAAAGCACAAAACGAGCATCTGCACTTCAATTCCCACTTAAACCGTTTCCGTTAAAAGATAAAAGTGAGAGGTAAGTACTTCTCAAATTAAATAATATAACGTAATTTAAATTAGTCACTTGAATAGTACGAGAATAAGATTGAGTTAAATTAAATTAAATAGCTTTGCGTACCCCACCATAAGATAGTGTTAGGTTTATATTGACCCTGAGCATTTTGCACCCTAATGCGCACACTTCATCTTTCTTAAAATCTCCCGTTCATACTTCGACCGTTATTGCATTCAGAAGCGAGCAATCACCAAGATTTCTGGCTTCTGAATACTTACAAAAAGATAAGAACAAAGCGAATGTGTTGAAAAGTGTGGAACGGTTACGACACGGACGGAAAAGCAGAAAAGTAACGCAATTCAACCCCGTTGGATAATGCGCTAAAACGCGAACATATCTTTGTATACCATCGAATCTATTTATATTACTTCTCGATGTACTTTGTTTATGGGGAGTCGTTAACGTTAAATAAACAAATAATAAAAGATTCTTTAAGTTATATCTGGGATTCCCGTCATAATCTCTTACGCTTTTGAGCTTTTATTACTGTTATACTTTTCGCGAGTATTTTTCTAATGGTGATTAATATCTGTAAAAGCAATAAAAGGTATGTGCATGAAAGCTCGTCTATTCTTATATTTATTAAACCGAAAGTAAGAGGTAATAATGGCCACTCTGAGTTGCGGTAATAGCTATTTGTGAATTATGAGTATGAGAAGTGTAGGTAACTGGTAGTTATAAAATTTCTTACTACTGAACAATTGAATGGCCACTCCTGTACTTCTTAAAGGACGCGGGATTTTGGCGATTGCAAAAATTACGCAATCAGTTGGAAGCCGAAAATACCATTCAAATTGGGTTATCTGCGCACAATAATAATGACATTATGCAGTCTATTTTTAGCCCATTTCCGTTCAGTTAAATAAAGGACACTGTTTGTATTTATAAAAAAGAATATTTAGCAAATTCCATAAATATTTTACCGCTCTCTACGCAGTGCCACAAAGTCGAAAGAAAATTAATATCCCGTGTAAAGCGAAATTGCGATAAAGAAAACAGTTCTTAACTTTCAAAATAAATTTCATGTTCATTATGTGCCGCTACAGTGAAGGTCAGGTAAAAAGGTTTACTGGAGGGGTTTCCGAATTCAAACCAAAATTCTAGAACAACTCAAAGTTAATTAATTAATTAATTAATTAATTAATGTCAATACTTAACGCAAATTTGTACTGATCAGGAGAATTAACAACTGAAACCTGCATGTCAACATTAATCATCAAAGATGTTCATGACCAAGAGCTGTTAGAGATTATTTAACATCGTGGGATTAACGAATGCATCTACGAAGTCACAAAATCGTTATATGATTTTTGTAAATTTAAATCGATAGCTTTACGATCCCTGAGATAATAGTTATTTATGCAATGAGTGTATAAATGAGGCGTTTTATTGGTGAGTGAGATGTTTAGTCCACGAGCGCAGCGAGTGGACTAAATTCGAACGAACCAATAATCGCCGATTTATACATGAATTGCATACAACGTTTTTTCGTCGACTTCACTGGGGTAGGTAATTTTAAAATCAACTACAAGAAATTACAAACGAAATTATGAGCTCCGACGATTTTTCACTAAATTACGCTATTGTCGTTGCTATAGTAGGTAATGTGTTGTTTTATGCTGTACCGTCAATCCTCGTAATCGCAGTGGAAGATTAGGTATGTTGCTTGCTCTGCTGCGGAGACGATTTTAACATTATATCCACTCAAATCAAAAGAAACTTATTGGAACGGTTTCGATCAGTTCGGCAATTGATGGAATACAATGAATTTGAAAGGAGATATTTCCGAAAATGTCACGTTGACATTTTACCTTGAAAAGGTATGTGAAATTAGAATGTAATTAATTTTTTTGCAACTGTACTAAAGTACGTGTATTAACAGTGAAAGATATGGAAATGTTCATCCCTGTGGTCGACGTACTCAATGTTGAAGGTAAAGTAACTGAATACCTTAACAATACCTTATCCGAGGAGCTACACATACATACATCAGGATATGCTTTGCTGAGATCGTTTGGCGACCGTACTGGCTGCTGATCTCACTACATTAAAACCGAGATTAAAATGGTTAGGTGGATGGAAGTTCTCAGCTGTTGCCGAAAGTGAATTGTTATATAATTGTCATTTCCCTTTAATAAAATGGTTGTTATGTATAAGTGGTTGCTAACGTATAATGGTTGGTTGCTAACCATTAATGGTTGCTAACGATTAATAAGCTTCATCATTGTACTCGTCACTAAGGAGTAATTTATATTGTTATCGAGAGGTCGACGAAAATAGTTATTTGTATACTTAGGCCGCGAAGTCATTCTTTAACGTACCGAAAAGAAGATTGGCGCCGAGGCCGCTTGCGGCCGAGGCAAGGCAACTTTGAGGGCGTTAAAGAATGACGCGGCCGTGGTATACACAACATTTTTTGTGCAATTGTGTAGAATCGTCAATAAATAAAAATGAGATTTCAAAAATAATAATTTTCGTCGCAAATAGAAAGACGGCCAATTTTCATTTTACCATGGAAATGAGATAAACAATGAATAATTTTTCGTGAAAGAAAAGTCAAAATGTGTGACTCCGAAAGTGATTCTTCGATATCCGGAACTCCTCCGGAAATAAAACTTGTTGCGAATTCTGCTGTGTCGCAGTACCTAAAAAATCGAAGCGGCAGTACGAAAAATGTTACAAGGACTTTAAAGACTGATGCAACAAGATAAACGCCAAAACCTTGTCTGAAAATGTACTATTAGCTTACCTTATGGAAAAATCGAAGACCTTAAAAAGTTCAAGCTTATGGAGTGTGTATTCGATGCTAAAGTGCATGCTTAATATAAACGATTGTATAAAAAACTGTACCTGTCAGTTTGAGTTCTAATGAAAATCAAAATGTTACAGTTTCAAAGTATAACGCTTCTAACACTTTAGACTTTATTTCAGGAGTAAGTATAAGTAACAATACGAACTGTACGATTAATATTAACATTTATCCAAAAGATTTGTAATTACCTACATGCTGATTGTCAAAATATATGTGACATTGTTTTACTTTAACGGCCGTCGCTATGACAGCGGCCGCGAAAGTGAATTTCGCGGCCGCCATGGCGAACGCGAAGTTGTTGTTTCGCGTCCAATTGCACAAAAAGGAAATTTTTGATCTATTACTATAATTACTATTAAATTATAAGTGGGAGGTAATAAAGTTGTTGAAAATTATTGTTTTGTCTGTTTGTATTCTTATCGAAAGAAACCTCTGAATTTGTGACCAGTCTTGTCAAACTTTTAGCTTCCGGTCATTTATGGGTTAGTTTGTTACCGTAAAATGACATGAATTAGGTAATACACAAACAAGATAGAATCCTAGGCCTCAATCTTGGTCCAGAACCCCAGACGACGACCTTGGTCCAGAATCCAAGACCACGACATTGGACCAAAGTCAAAGACCTTCTGACGTCAGAAAGTCCAAGATGGCGGAGGGTATCCCACCTCTACTATAATGGTAGTTGTTGTGCATTATAGATTTTTTATCCGCCATTGAATTTTCTGTGTTCTTCACATTTATTGAACAAGTTTCAACAAGTTTTCTGGTTATGGCAGCAGGGGCCGTTTATCATATTATAATGACTGATCCTTGTGGTGTGTCACTGTGTGAGGAAACGAAATTAAGGGTAAGGAAATAATCTGCCCAAAACCAGTAAATGAGATTTCCCCCAGATATTTCCACTTAATTTCGCCCCTCCTAATCGTCTTCCCCACCAGATCTCCAAGATATATATACCTGTGTCAGTCCAGTGTTTGTAACTTTTGCTTTTGCTTCTATCTTTACCAGTGCCTTTTGCTATTAACCAGCCTTATTTACCTGTGATTTATTCCTATATAATTTGTACCCTTAACCGTCGTTCCAGTACCTGTAAAACCTTTGTTAACCTGCACCCCTGTCGTTCCCTGTGTTGAGTGTGTTGCCGTTAGCCCTAGGGGGTAAATCGTAAGTAGCCTTCGAGGTGAGTGAGTGTGTTTATAGTGTCATTAAAACAACAATCTTTCAACCCTTTATTAAACGTGCAAGCTGTTACCTTTATTACTCTGACCAGTTCCCAATTCCCCGAGTAATTCCAGTTCCTAGGTGTACTCCCTAGCGAACGGGTTACTACAACAAGTATTCCGCAAGATTACCAGCTACTCTCCATACGTTCCTACCTGTCCGTGTCTTCAAAACGAAATCGGAGCGTGACTCCTGGTTTTATACGAAGTACACCTCCGTAGTATCTTCCCGTCGCCCCGTCCTGCCTGAACCTGGGGCACAGTGCTCCCGCCTACGTTAACCATAAGGGGCTGAAAGCCGTCACGAGAAAGGTTAGTTGTTACAGTTCGAACACTCACCCCGCAGGTTCTGTTGGTTACCTCGTTCGGGTGGCGCAGCCCTCAATCCCGCATCAATTAATTTGTTACATTCTAGACAGCACTGCACGTGGAAATTAACCTACAGTCCGACACGAAAACGGCATTGACAGCAAACCAGCTGACACGCTGGGGCCAGATAACTACCGGCAGATGGCAGTACTCCCCAAGTAAATACGAGGACTGCTCCGGAAATCTTTTATATTATTTTATTTTGTATATATATATTTTTATTTTCTATTTAGACAATACACTTTTACTTTTCTTTGCTCGCCAATTATTTCCCGACGCTACCCGAGGCTGTGGGCAAAAGCCGGAACGTACCCAGGGTTGCTCACACATGACAGAGGCAGACTACGTTTCCTGCCGCGCTTGTCACTTTACTGGCCGCATCTGACACCTGTCACTTTACTGGCCGTACCGTCACTTTACCGGCCGCATTTGTGACATTTCTAAATGTCTATAATGACCCCTGTCATCACTGACAGTTTGACATTAATCAAAAGTTCTATATGAAACTTGAAATTTTATATTAAAATACGATTTCGGGTAAAATTTAATACAAAATTCGTCAGTAAAATGACATTACCTGACTGGGAAATTAAAGTACTCGGCCCCAAACGGGCCTCGTAAATAACTATTTCAGGAGTCATAGAAACTTTAGAACGCCGGGAAGTGTACCCCGCCAATCCCTGAATGTAAAAATTCGTTTTATCTTTCGGCGAGATTTGAAGACCTTGATGCAAAAAGGGGATCAGTCACAATATGTAAATTCTTAAAAAAATGCCAAACCAATTTTTTTCATTTAATAATAGTCAAGTAAAGATCATATACAACAAAAAACACAAAACTAAAATGATATACTACCAGAAATAAAGCAACGAAACTAAAAAAGATATATTTGGAGCAAAAAGGGATGTCATAATTTGAAGTTATTAACATAAAACCCATAAACACTGAAATTTGTGTCATTCGGAATGAGTATCACTTTCTTCTGTGGTCGATGGAGAATCGCTGAGGGGCTCATTCTCCTTGGGTGGATTAGTACTCCTAAGAGTATTATAAAAAGGCATGTCTGCTTTTGCGACGTACTCGAAAGCAAGTGTCATAACATTTTGGTATTTAACATCTTTCGGTGGCAATGATCAACATAACAGACTTCAATCTCATTAAAAGTAATCGCTTGATTATGCGATAGGAGACCATCTTGGAACAGGATCGCCGAAACGCTTAAGGGATCAGCAGGGAAAACACTTGAGAGACGTAAATCGCCCATGTCACCGAACAGGAAGCAAGCCACGGATAACCACAGCAGAGCACCGAAGCAAAACCCACACAAACCTGAAGCAAAAAAAAGAGCTAAGGGAGGCCAGAGAGGAGAAAAACAGAGCCTTTGAACAGCATGAGATCAAGGACTTCACCGAGTTTGCAGAGAACATCGCCAAATCCTATTTCAAGTTGGTTTTTGCATATATAATATAGGACAGGGGGGGAGGGGGGAGTATTAAGCTCCCTGAAATACTGCCGTTTCAAGAATAATATATGAAATAGGAAGTATTTTATTAATCTGGCCATCAATTCATCGTTGCGAATATGAAGGTAGAAATCCTACACGAAAGGTATTCGATTACAGGGGCACACAGAATTATTTAGTAGAGACATATGCGAAATAGCTTCGACATTTCATTACAGCATCAAGTGATGTTTGTTGGAGGTAGTCCTTCGTAATAAATCACACTTCTGCAAGGCCGATGCATTTTGAGGGTGCTTTCTGTAAATACGTACGGCTACGGGTTTATGTATGTACATTAATCATATTCAGTCGGGAGAAACGTGAAACAAGGGAGAAAGGCAGGATGTGCAAATGTCATTGTTGAGCGAAGTCATCCATATTCACAGCGACGCTGTTGGCATTTCAAGTTGAGGCGAAATTACATACTTGGTAAAGGCGGACGTTTAACAAACGAAAAAGAAACACGATCTCTTTCTTACCGCTTCAGTTTTTAAAGGTTCGCCGGACGAAATGATGGCGACACTATCATCGACCAAATTAAATTAACGAAGCTTAATTGACAATTACTTCAAAGCATGATGTGTAACTACATTATCCGGTCACGCGATTGACTTGGTTTCTAATAGTGGACGCAGCTGCTTTTGCGACAAATGTTCTACACGTTAATGAATTTTGTATTTGATTATTTAATCACGACTCAATTTGAAAAGAGCAATTTGCGCCCTCGAAGTAGCTTTTCGAACAAAATTGATGAAGTAACAATAGCATAAGCATTTTTCTGAATTACTCGTCACAATTATGTGGTTGGTTATATTCAAAAAAAATAGTTAAAGCCCCATTTTTAAATCCTGTACTGAAAGACTACATCGAGTTATCCGTTTAAACGTTTAGTTTAATTGATTAAATTTGATTTAAATTGTTCTTATATTCGCGTTAAAACGAATTTGGGACTGTAGGTCTTAAACGGTTAAACCTTAAACCCCATGTGAGAACTGTAAACTCCACAGCGCGGCATTTGTCATATTGGGTAGCAAGGAAAAAGTCATGGGAAACTAGACTCTTTGAAAATGTCTGTAAGCAAATGTATTTAAGGATGAGACCATTGTTGTAGGTAAATATGATATTATAAATAATCGTCTTTTATTTCGAAAATGAACAACCCGATGAGATTTTTTTTATGTGCGGGGTTTCAGCAAAGACTGCTCTACCAACTCAACCCACTATACATTTACAAATATTCATGCCGGAACCCGGATTCAAACCAGGTACCCTTAGTGTCGTGCGCCAGACAGGCCGGCCGGCCCCACACACTCATACTTCAGTTCAGCTAAAGAATCGATCCATTGCGATGAAAAATATTTGCCATAGTAACTATTTCACGTGGTCGTGTTGGTGTTTTAGTGATAACGGATATGGTGCAACACCTCCTCAAGTTGAAAGTATGCATATTGAGCAGAAACAGCCACCCTGTTGCTCTCTTCTATTCTCCCGTTACCAGTTATCAGTTAACAAACTGGTACCTAACTGGTAACTAGTAGCGGGTGAATAGAAGAGAGCAACAGGCTGTTTCTCTATGAGCTCTTTATTTGGCTTCGATTGAATAAGGTAATACACCTCGAATCAGTGGCTTGTTGCAGAAGCACGAGAAAAGATGGTACTTGCAAAATCCAAATGCAAAAGCCTATTATAATAGTTATTTATGCAAAAGCCTATTATAATAGTTATATTTATGCAACGTTTTTTCGTCGACTTCACTGGGGTAGGTAATTTTAGATTCAACTACAAGAAATTACAAACGAAATTATGAGCTCCGACGATTTTTCACTAAATTACAGCTATTGTCGTTGCTATAGTAATGTGTTGTTTTATGCTGTACCGTCAGTCCTCGTAATCGCAGTGGAAGATTATGTTGCTTGCTCTGCTGCGGAGACGATTTTAACATTATATCCACTCAAATCAAAAGAAACTTATTGGAACGGTTTCGATCAGTTCGGCAATTGATGGAATACAATGAATTTGAAAGGAGATATTTCCGAAAATGTCACGTTGACATTTTACCTTGAAAAGGTATGTGAAATTAGAATGTAATTAATTCTTTTGCAACTGTACTAAAGTACGTGTATTAACAGTGAAAGATATGGAAATGTTCATCCCTGTGGTCGACGTACTCAATGTTGAAGGTAAAGTAACTGAATACCTTAACAATACCTTATCCGAGGAGCTACACATACATACATCAGGATATGCTTTGCTGAGATCGTTTGGCGACCATACTGGCTGCTGATCTCACTACATTAAAACCGAGATTAAAATGGTTAGGTGGATGGAAGTTCTCAGCTGTTGCCGAAAGTGAATTGTTATATAATTGTCATTTCCCTTTAATAAAATGGTTGTTATGTATAAGTGGTTGCTAACGATTAATGGTTGCTAACGTATAATGGTTGGTTGCTAACCATTAATGGTTGCTAACGATTAATAAGCTTCATCATTGTACTCGTCACTAAGGAGTAATTTATATTGTTATCGAGAGGTCGACGAAAAAGAATATGAAAGGCTGCTGGGGTGGATGAATAGGAAGCATCTTTCAAACAAAGTCTTAAATTCATCGTTAATGCTAGCACATAGGAGGGAAATGTCAAAGGTATTTAAATCTTTTATCCTTTGGTGCATTCATTCAAAACTTAAATCGAAACTTCGATTAAAACGTGTAACAGATTTGGTAGCGTACCTCCACTAGATCACTGTATTTGTAAAACCTTCCAACAACGGATACGAGCGAAAAACATATTTTGCATTTGCAAAGAAGAGGACTTTTTATTTCAGTCCCAGATTATGTAGTTTCATATGTAATATTTGAAGTAACGTTACTTATCCACTTTTAAGCGTTTGGAAAAAGGGACCAACTCGAAACCTGTAAAATTATCAATATCAAAACAGGTTCTCGCAGAAAACAGCGGAGCTATAATTGTTAAAATGACTATTAAAACAAATGTAGTAATTACAATTCGATTGCATCGAATACCAGACGTTATATCAAGGAGTAACCCAAAATAAAAATTACCTTTGAAACTATGGCCGTAACGGCCTTTTGAGCTCAGAAGGGCGCTTTTCTGCCTTATCTGTAACAGACAACAACACAAACAAACAAACAAGAGGGATAGTGAATAGCGCGGCACATAAATATTGCGATAGCGATGTCTAACATTCGATACTAATCAGGTACTTGTATACTAGAACCGTAATTAACACTCAATAAGAACCAATAATTCCATTTATGTTCAGTAACCAAACGCAAAATTTTGATCAACAACCATCGTCCATACAAATCGGTGAAATAAATGCATAATCGTGACGTTAACTTCAAGAAAACTACTTTACGATGCACAAATAACTAAATTTATATCCAACTGCAATGTTCTAATCAATTCAAAATGTAAATAAGCTAACACCAGCAAAAAGGCTATGTAAGCTTATTCGGTGGGGCAGCCACAACACATCGGAAATAGAGAGAAAAACTCCAAAAAATATGATGATATCCACTACAAAGAGCCTTTTTCAGGTAGACATAGTCAAGTAAAAGTAATGGCGTATCAAAAAAATTTTGCAAGAAACTACCATGAATGGAGCAAGTATGGTGTGTACATAAGACAAAATTACGAAAAGGTACATAGAGTGAACTCTAGCGACAAAACAATGAAGTAAGGTCAATGATACATATAACACTCGGATGACCC